CACGAGACCATTCCTGACTTGCTTTGCTTCTTAGGAGAAGCAAACAACGTTCTCGCTCTGAACTTGGCCTTACCATTCAAGACTTTCACACTGCGACCAACCTGCAGAGTACACCGTTTGAAGGGAAAATCATTCTTGCACCCCGAGGTCAGTTATATTACTGAGTGAAATTGGTTCAAGCAAGACTATCAAATAGAGATCAAATGTTATTGTTTGTGGAGGATACAATGAGTAATTGAGAACTTTTTTCTTCTGAAAAATGTCCTTATTCGTCAAAAAGTCTGATTTAACTTTAGCAGACTCGCTTAAATAATTTATATCACAGCTATCGTACTCTTCACACTTTGTGTTCTGTTCGTTTACGGAATTTTTAACCTATGCAATCACTATAATATTAACAAATGGTTCATTTCCCATATTTTCAAATTTAAACAAAGCCGAAGGCTATTTTACCAGACCAAGTTCAAAATGGTTGTCTGAACAATGAAATTTTAGTTCTTCCGTCTCTAAATATGCTGCCCGAATTGGAGTGAAAATTTCCCGAAATTACCCAAGGACTATTATGTCTACCTCACATGTAACACAGATGTCATCTTTTTCATCAATTTATCGTGCTGTGGTTCTTCCTACTTGACAGCAAATTCGTACACAAATTTATTCTTGGGTCATAATAACAAAAACAATAAATAGTAACTAAACAAGCGAACGCCAACGGAAAACGAACGAAAAAAAAAACACAACGTGTATGTTAATAACAAAGTCTTTCTTTTTCTTTTCTTCTTTATCTCATTTCGTGGTACTTAAATTCAATTTTGTTTTTAACCTTCGCAAAGAATTCTTATTTGAAGCTGAGGACAGCTCCATCTGAGGAGGGAAAATATGTTAAAAGACAAAATTGGCATAGGTGTTTTTTCATGCACTTATTTGAACGTTGAAAATGAATGGAAATAATATATTAGCATAAGCCATTCAGTAAACATTGTAATAAGCCAATTGATCACTTCTTCTTACTTTTGGCGATCTTATCTTACAGGTAGAGTTTGGTTACCTTTTCCTTATCGTGATGGTGAATTTGACATGGAGACAAATGTTTTTGCGTAAACTGCGGTTTGCGGCTAGATATCAGTATATTTCCATTATGTTGCTAGAAGATGATTAATTACTAAGAAAATGACTCTACCTTATAAAAATTGATCCCGTACAGGAGTTTCCTGGAAGTAACCCTTCCTTATGCTTTACGGCTTTAATATTCTCGTTTTTAGGTTAAATCCATGTCGAATTCCCGATCCGGAAAATAGTTTTTAAATTTTAATTCAGCACGTTCGACACCTCTTTTTCTTAGAGGTGACTTAAAGTGTAAACATGTAGTACTTTTCATCTTCCGCACTGAATTTGTAATCAGATAACTTATACGACTGGCACGTAGCTCTTTTAGGGGCGGTACTTTGGGTACGCCCTTTCTTCTCCGAATTTTGTGTTTATTCTGCTGTTATGCAACAGCCTTCAAGGACTATTTTCTCTTAAGATATCTTTTCAAGTATGATTTTAATTCTGTCAGTAAGTTTAATATAATTTTTATATTGTCAATCTTGTTTTTGTTTTGCCCGAACTTGACCGTAAGACCAAGAAATTTAAGTTAGAAAGACATTTTGTAAAGCGTAAACATCGCGAAGGTATCTACTTAGTATGCGAACTCCGTTCTGCGTAGTTTAGCGTGATTCGCTAGTTAAGTGTAAAAGCATGACGAAGGTTAGAAACTGACAGCTCAGTAAGTGTCACCTTTATAAGCGGTGACCCACACTTTCCTAGAAAGATCAGAGCTAGTCCCCGTTGTATGAACTTGCGTAATAAAAGAGAGAATAAAAGAAATAGTCAACTGAACGACGAGTGTTGGGAAATTACTTCTAACAACTTTGTCGATTTGAAACACGATAAATTTGAAAAACACGAGGGAATTTCTTAGATCTTCGCGCTTTCGACATGGATGGTCTTCAATTAGTAGCATCCCTCACAATTTGATGTGATATATTTTTGCAAATTATTGAAGCTCTCCGCAACAGGACACATGATTGTGATATCTTTTTCTCCGAGCAGTAAACATGCACTCTAATTTCTGTTCTACTTCAGTTCTCATTTTTTCAAAACACCGACATTTACTTCTCACTAGTGAGGCTCTATATTCCTTCGACTACATAGTTTTCCTTTCCGGTTGCGGTTATCCATTTCTATGGTCTTTCTTCGTAGAAAAGTTGAAAACCTTTCTCAAGTACGACTTATGCCAAAGAATATAATTTCCGAGTCTGATATTTCCGCCGTAAATTTGATCGTGGATGGTGGTACATGTTTGCCCGTCTTGCAAATTCTTCTATTATGTGTTTGGTTGTGCCCTACACACAGAAAATGTCGTCATAATACCTCTTCCAAACAAGCGGTTTAGTTTTGCTCTGGTTGATAATATTTTTTTTCCATTTTTGTCATGAAGAATATGTTGGCAAGAGCTACGGTTATTGCCGCTCCGTGGGTTTGTGAGAAACAGTGTTGTGTTCCGGAATAATAGGGAGTTTAAGAAAATCACGACGGAAACGGCAATGGCAATGTCACTAAACGAAAGGTTTAATGAGCAGAAAAATGGCTGTGCACGTCCGCTATAAACCTTTGTAAATTTCTTTTCGTCCTCTGCAAAACAACAACGTGAAATATCCAAACTTTGCGTTGTCTGGAGAACTTTAACGACAACGGCTTATTTTTTAAATTTCTATTACTAATTTAACGCTGTGTTCCATATTCAGTTTCGAGATAGTTTTGACAACAAGAAACAAACTAAATTACTTTAGAGTATTGCAAAATTCGTAGGTAAAATGTGAGTTCATTTTTTTAACCGACGTTATAAAATTCGCGTGTTAAAGGTGAGGAGCGATTGGAAAAACTAAAGTAAATCCCGAGGTGTTTTCTGTCTCAGATTGCTCCGAAATCACTTAATATACAAGAGCATAGTTCTGTTACTCGTTTTCTTGTTACTCCGTTACTCCTTGCCCCGTTACTCTGTTTAGTAACACCCCCATCACAGAGGGAAGCTTAGGGAAGCTGTTCTTTTTTAAAGAAGGCAAATACTTTAATCAGACTCATTGCCTGACGAAAATTAAAACGCTCGAATTTAAAGAAATAAAGCAGATATTTTTAGATCTCCCTTTGTTAGAATCCTTTTAAACTCGCTGGTCGTATGTTCAAAACGCAAACTGACCAATGTTAAAGTCGAATATGAATAAATTCATTTTTGAACGGCTTCCTCGGAGTTGCCGTCCTCACCGCTTAAAGTACTACTGCTTATTGTTCGTTTTTCCTAAGGACCATTCAATCGCATGGTCGAAAATGCACCTGTAGGTGACCACGTCAGGCGATATTGTTTCTGTGCAACAAATTTTGCCCAAGTTTAGGATCCTTGGGTATTTACGCGATAAGAGATTGGAAGACAAAAACAACGTGGTATGGGGAGAGAGAGAGAGAGGTGATTAATTGCCACTAGAAAAGCGTCGCGCTGTTTTCAAAGTTTAGGATGTTAATATCACTTTCTTTATCGTCTACTTTAACTTGTTCATTTTATGACTGAATATTTCCGAAACAAAAATAAACATATAAACACAGCTCTTAGGCAGCAGAGGTAGTTTTATGGCTGGTACGGGAGCAAAAAAAATTGAAATCTCTTGTACGGGAGCACATAAGCGCAAAAAGTGTGGTATTCAAAAAGACAAGGAACGAGTCGTAAAATTTTTTAATGTTAAAGAGGGTTTCCTTGCCCAGTTTTTGAAGCTAAGTTCGAGCGTCAGCTGTGCGAAAGAGAATGTTTTTCAAGCGCAGAGTGGATCGAAAAACTTTTTTTTGCCCGATGGACGCCGGCGCGAAGATTGAACTTTCTTAACTCCCTCCCATGTGTCATCCATTTGATAAGCAACATCAAGATATGAAAAATAGAGGTCAATCTCGAAAAAATCGAAAAACTGAAATCTTCCTCAAGCTAATCCCAGGAAACATGATTGGGTTACTGACGTGCTTGAGAGAGCGGAAATTTGACTTTGGTGCGGTTTTTTTTATGAGGTGGAGCATAGACAACATTTAAGAGGGGTGAGGATTTGAATCAATTATCTTGATTACTTGTTCATGCGTGTACCTTCATGGAAACTAAACTAGAGATCAAGGGACAAGAGTACTTTAATGAAAAACTATTTTCCTCCAATTCAATTCGGCCGGGGTTGTCCTAGAGACGTTAACATTTCAAATAAATCCCACCCTGAGACTACCACCTGGACCATCTCCAGAACTCATGTTTAAGTTTAAGCTTTGAAACTAAAGGATATTCGTAAAGTTAATATCTTTTGCGGAGAAAGTTCTATGATAGAGCTCAATGCTTGAATAAGCTGTCTAAAGATAAAACTATAAGAATTTTCCAAAACCAAAACAAAAACTTGTACCCGGAATCGAAACTGCTATGTCACAGGCACACCATGATCCTAATGGATAACGCATGTTTTAAAGCAAAAACATTCCTTGGTAAAATCACACCACCTCAGGAATATGAAACCTTATTATCGACTCAATGGGCTAAAGAGGGTTAAACAGCGAAGATTATTTACCAGTTATGTCATCATGTTGAACGAGTTGGTGACACATAGTGAGTATTATCGAATTGTATTGTTTGAATTAATTTCATAACTGGATCTAACCATGATAAACGACATTTTGTTATCCAGTTACCATGGTACACTTAAGTCCCCTAGGGATGTAGATAAGACTCTTACCGGACTCCAAATAAATATGAAATGTAAGTGGACTAAGTTGTACAAGAGAAGTTGCCAATCTAAGAAATATTGTATTGTTTTATATTTTTTGACAGGATGTTCAGATTCCAACTCATTCTGATGTGAAAGCCCAAATCATGTCTCTATACATCGGCACGTGATTAAAAAATCATTAATGAATGTTCGTAAGCTAAAGAAACGTCATTCTTACAGATATTCCAGCCTTGTGTTGTTACTAAAGGCCCCTGCTGTCAAGTTCTGCAACTTGTTTTTGGACAAGTCCCTAGGAACAAATTAACAAATCAATTACCTATTTATGGAGGGAGTAAGTTTCTAAAGAAACTGTGGTGCTGCGTCGGTGGAAGAGTGTAACTTATTTGATAACGTAAATTAGCGATTTGCTCTGACGAAGGGCTAACGCTTGAAACGTTAGCTTTGAAACTATATACGGTAACCAATTTACGTTATCAAATCAGTTGATTATACCAAATTACCTAATTATTTTATTTACTCCACTGGTAACCTGAATTGCCTAGCTTTCAAATATATAAGAGACTCGCACGGTCCGTATGGTGCTTGTTAATTTGAGCTTCACGTACAAATGAATCAGCTATGAGTTTTTCCTTTAACTTCAAACCATTTGCCGATCTAATGGCTGAAAAGATCTGATGAAATGTACATTCATCAGGATTATCCTTATGCCATTCACCTTTTCGATCAAGCAGTGACCATTTAAACATGATAACTTTTATCAACTAATAGATCAGTAAACCTCCTCCAACAATTCGGTTTGAACGTTTTAACCAATTCCACATCCACGAGGAATATCCGTGGCGAACAATTGCTTAACAAGTTTTGACCAGTTTTTTTTGGCTCAAACGATTACCATAGCAACACTTCAGTCTACTACAGTGTCATCTAGTTTTAGCTTTCCGTGTATATCACCCAAAAACGAGTTCGGTGAACCCAAGATTTGATTATTCAGTACCAGTCAGCATATCATGACTTAGCTCTTAGAAACTTTTAAAAATATCAGTGGAATAAATTTGGAACCACCATAAATTATCGAAAAGCTATGATAGCACGGTGCTGAAACTACCTTACAAGCTTTTTTTGTTTTCAAAGACTTAAACAAACCTACCTCTTTATGTGCTAATTGCAATTTAGCATGAAGAAAAGGTGTGATCAATAAACTCGCTTTTGAGTGACAAGCTCATACAGTTAAAATTAAGGTTGTTTTTAAAATACCGCATAGTTAAAATGGTGAATTTCTGCGGCACGGAAATAAAATGTCCCACCTCATTAAATCTTGGGTTTATAAAAAATAGGAAATTTTCTTAAAGCCTCCGTAACGGCCATGGGTTTTCGTAATGAGCTGACCAAAAACGATTTTCTTTCACTTGGCCTCGATCAAAGGGAGCGTGTACACTTGAAATGATTAATTATATACTAAAGATAATTTTCGAAAATACCAGAGCTTAATTTGACCAACGCTTTTGCTGTTTACCAAAACCAGCAAATAAAAAATAAATAAATATGCAATGGTAATGATGCTCACGGAAACACCCGAAATGTTTTTTTGGCTATCTTAGAGGATAGTAAATACATGTAACATCAATTTTTCCTCCACAGCAAGGATCAGAAGCAAGTGTTTATATTCTTATAGTAATTTCAATGCTGCGCTCAGAAGTAATTCTGTCTCACTTTGTGTAACAGCTCTAAGTGACTTCTTTCCCATGAATATAGAGGTTAGCTCCGAAGGCTTAAACTGGGTCCGATCTACTACTTGGCTCTTAGCAATAAACTGATATGCTTCTCATGCAGAGCACTTTGTATAAAGCTGATCTAAGATATATCGACGATTCTCTGTTTAGTTCGAGTATTTTTACACTGCAATGGTAAGTGTTCTTTGAGTACGATATGAAATAATGAACTTAAGAAATTTACTGAAGTCCAAATTTTCAGCTGATCTCAATATCGTTTTCTTTTACTTATCTCGCCGTGTAACTTTCCAAGCTGCTTTACTTAAGGCATTAAGTTTTTTTTACCTAAAAGTTTTACAGAGCCGGAAGAGAGCTTTAAAAATATAGTAAAGATGGACGAATTTTTTCCAAGTTTATCATGGATGATCTATTTCCCATGTGAGGGTCATTTCGCCCGTCAGTGTTTATGTTCTACGTTCGAATCGAGCAAAAGAATAAATACTCTGATATTGATGGTCCGACATAGATACCTTATCAAAGTTTTACTCATCACTCAGAAATTACATATCACATGGAGGTTATCTCTGGAAATACTTTGGTTATGTCCAAGAGAAATGATAGATTGACACTGATTTCGTTACTAGATTCAACGGGTTTTCTTTGTCAGGTTGTAGTTGCTGGTGTTGTTGTTTTTGTTGTCCTTTCACCAACTTAACATTTGCAGGTGGGCTGTAAGGTCTAACTTAATATTTTCATGATCAAGCTCAATGTGTAGATCTTTACGTGGAATAGCGGACATAATAATTTTTAAAGTGAATTTTGTAAATCAAAATGCATGAATTTAGCTAATTTGCGAAATTCATGCAATTTGATTTGCGAAACGCACCCGAAGAACCTCACTGAATGAAACATTATTTTCCATCCGTTAATCTTCAATACATCAAAATACAAAAGAAGTTGACAAAGTCAATATGACTTACAGTTTTATCAGATTAGAATTTCTGCTGAAAACTTCCTTCGGCAAGTGCTTCAATTTGTTGTTTGAGAGCGTGCTGCAACAAAAAAGAAAGTCAGTTTTAACTCAAATTGTGAAAGGATAATCAGCAGCTAGCAGAAAAACCGTCATCTGTTTTTACCGAATGAGTGTCCAAAAAGAAAAAACCGGTAGAGAAACTCTTGATCGAAAGTAAAACAAAGTCAATATCTCAAACTCCTGCGTAAATCTGACTGAAAATTAACCTGTACAACATTTTCAAATACATTGAATATGCTTTCACTGGTTTTTTTTACATTCTAAGGTAAATCAGTTGGCTCTTCTTTCATTTCAACACTCTGAATGCAGATAGAAAGGGAAAATCACCCGACGCATCTGGTTCAACAGTTATGGAATGTAATTCTTGTTATTTCTTATGAAATTTCTTATAAAATTACAAACGACCATAAAATTATTTTGTCTTTAGTATAACCTTCTCGTACTTTAGGCAATCATTGTGCCACTTCCAAATTCGAACAAAGGCCAAATTTGAGGCTTAATCGTTTACATGAAAAAATTACGCATGTCTGATTGGCTGAAAACGATTGCATTTTTCATATAAATTCTTATTGGCGCTGCCAAAATTTCGTCCTTCTTGACGTACTTCTGTGGTGAGTTTTTCATATGTAAGTCATTAACAAGACTAACAAGTAACGACATGATTTCGAGTGCAATTTGGTGTAAATAAGCGCACTTGTAAATCTGTCAAAGACGGACTCGTGCAATTTTGTTGTCTTTGAAAATTTTTAGTATTTATTAACATCAAATTGCACTCGAAATCATGTCGTTACCTAAACTTATATGATGTATTAAGAACTTACAGTTTTCCTGTAGCTCGGGGAATTTTCTCTGGAATTGACTTAAGCTGTTTCGTTCCACAGTCGGCCGATACTAAGTTCTTCATGTTACCTTTAAGGACTTTGCATTGGCACTGTTGAGGGCACTCTGACAAACAAAAACAGGCTTCCATTAAAAATTGATATTTGAATCATATCTGTTTGTTCGAATCAAATTGATGATGGCACGTTACAAAGTATACCATCCGTTTAGCTAAGCATTGTTCAAAACCATCCAAAACTAAAATGCTCTCTCATCGAAATGAAGACATATTTCACATCACATTTTTTATTTCTATTCAGCCGTTGGTGCAAAACAGCTCATTATAATCACGAGCATGATTTTTATTCGCCATGTATGAAAATGATCTAAAATACTTAATTATTGGGATTTGTTGCTCTCTGGTATTTTCCGTTTGATCTGTTCGAAGATAAGGAGAATAGTAAAGTCAATCCAGTGCAAACTTTGTTAAATTTTTTCATGTTTACGACGTAGATTCAAATAGACCGAACTTACTACGGCCAAGGTCGCATTAGAGCTTTTTTGTTTGTTTAAGCGAAAAATCTGTCAACAAGTAGCGTAAAATAAGTGCTACCCAATTTAAAAACCTTTACAACTTTTTGCGGATCGCCAAAATTTCGCCAATCTTCAAAGAAGCCGATTTCCTGCCTCGCAGGCTTCCAATTTTTAGCACACCGAACAATCTTGTTTTTAAACCATTTAGCTGTCATCGTACGCAAGACATGTTCAGATAAAATTTAAGCGGGAAAAATACGCTGTGGTCCGCTAGAGTAGTTTGGCGCACGCGATGGCAGGACATCTGACCCTCAGTTTTCGTTTGAAGGAAACGAGGAATTTGAGCGACGTTTTTATTCGAATGTCTGACTCGTACCCTGGGCCCGGTCACTGGCGGCAATTTGGAGAACAATCGGCTTTAACGAGTACTTCTCCTTCCAATGGAATCATCGAAGCCAGCACAAGTGGCGCAAGCTGCAACCAAAAAGATCGACAGGAAAAAAGAAAGCGAAATACGATACATGGTCCCAAGCTCGAACCATGACTCCACCTTACGCGGAGACCTCGACTAAGGACGGTTTCGAAAGCGAGCTCTATTTAATAGAAGTCTTCGTCTTCTACGTCTAAGAGTTGATACTAGCCGCATAGAAGCCTGCTGATAATGTACCAACAAGATAAAAAACGCAACGTTGTTTTGCAGAGAAAGAAAGCTGCGAAGATAATCATTCGATGACGATCCATTCTTGCCCAGTAATTCTAGCGATAATTTTTTCTTTATCCTTTAGTAGAGGGAGATGGGTTCGTGATTGACGAATGTGTCAATCAATGAAGTTTTGATCAAAGGATACTAGTTTGATGCGACCGCCTCCAAAAATTGAAAATTGCAAAAATTTTTGCCAATGTTTGGCTCGCGAAAAATTGACAGATATTTGAATTCGCTCTAGTGCGACCCGGCCCTTAAATTCTCAATTTCAAATAGATTCAAATAGACCGACCTACTAATCCTCTATTTTCTTATGTGACGTATACGGCGAACGACTTAAAGATGGCTATCCTAACCGAAAAACGGCTCTCACTTTTCTATACACTGATTTTATTGCGTGCATTGCCTCTTGCGTGGTCGAAGTAATGGAAAATGCCTTTAGGTTAGCAATGGGTACCGTCAACTAATCACTTTTCAAATGAAAATTGACAGCAGGTGTTTGCATCACTTTCTGGTCGCTACATTTGAGCTCAGGGGAAAACCGCACTGACGTCACTTGCGACTTTTGCTAGTTGTTTATTTATCCATTCTGAACGATTTTGCGATTATTCAATAGTTTGAACAGCACAGTTTTTGATGGCATCACAGCAAAAGTTGTTAAATGCAGATCGATTGCAGACAGTATTATTTTCAACACGCTTTGTCACGTGAGAAAGGGAAAGTCAGTTCGCCATTTTTGATGTTATTTGGATTAGTTTCTCAGCGTGATCAACCGATAAAAAACAATTTATATACAACAAACCAATTTTTTTCCTTTTTTCAAGTTATATAAATATTAATTAATAATGGTCAGAAATCGATGAAAACTAAAGAATAAGAAAGTTATGAGCAATACATTATTTGAGACCTGGTTTGATTCTTTCCAACGCGAAGAAAGATCAAGGTATGATACATTTCTTTGACAGATATTAAACGTAACAAAGCCGCACTATGGAGTTCTTCCTAATTAGTCTATCAATCCCCCTCATAATAGAAACAGATTGCATATCTGACTTCCATTACAATTTCAAACACGAGTCCCCTTCTATTCCTTCTATGGCTGCTAAGTTAGATACAACGGCTGCTACAAATTCGTTTTCTTAAGACTTCTTTCACAAATGTTTATGAGAAAAAACACTGCACCAGAATGTATTCAATAAATAATCTGCTTAGAGCAAGGCGAGCGTAATCTATTTGTGACAAGATGGTACCTTAGACAAGAAAATCCACGTTGTTTGTTGAAAGACAAAACAGTGGCTATTAAACAGACGCAATTTTTGTAAACAAGTCGTCTCTTTGTTATGGTAAATTGAATGAACGCCACTCTCTTAGATGCAGCGCTTTTCAATATCCTTGCTCTTACATGTGGCGCTTTTTCTTGGGCAGCGGTCAATCGAGTCAATTAATAATTTTTTAAAAGCAAAAGCATGAAAACTAACCTTTTAATAATTAAAAAAAAGAAACTTAGTTATTTTGTGTTTTACTTCATAAATGTGACTTTTCAGGTTACCCTTGAATAAAATTGTAGAAGGTTTTATTCTAAAACCAAAAGTTCCCAAAATCGACATAAGACAAAGAGTAAGGTTTACCAAAAGCATACACAACAACTGAGATCCCCTTGAAGTAAAGATGTAACTTGAGACTTACTCTCGACAACAAGACTGATGTTTTTCGGCTCCTGGTCGTCCACTTCGCAGCTGTAATTTGTATTTCCTTCTTCTTCAGTGACGTTGATTTGAAGTCGCACACTAGTGCTGTTTTGCACAACAGCGCCATTCTTTCTCCAAACAATGCGAGGAGCTGGTCCACCTTCCGCCGGGCACCACAAAGATGACGAATGGTTGAGCAGGACAAACTGAGTCTCTGCGACGTTTTTCAGGTTGGTGGAAACTAAGCACAAACATAATAAGACATATCATCCACAATAAATTATACCAATAAGCCAATAAGTAAATCAAAACATTAAAACCCAAGAATACTTACATGTTGCATTTAGTGCTTTTCCCTCATAATATCTGTTCCATAGCCGGTATCTATGGTGAGGTGAAAATCTTAACCACATGTTCTGTCCACTGGAACGTAGTTTAAAGCGAGGAACGTATCTTCCACAAAATACACCCAAAAGATTTCCAGACTGATTATACCCATCACGGATCTCAAGATATTCCTCATCAGCACAAGGTGCTCCAGGTGAGTCAGGGTTCAGCCTCAATTCTATTTCCACATATTGCCCTTTTTCTACTTGAAGATGCTGGGTTGTATCAAAGTCTGGGATACGTTGTCGGGAGTATACTTTCGCGATTATTGCAACTGTGACAAAGAACATAATTTCACAGAGGAATAAGTATACATACTTTGCACAGTTAGTTCATTAATGACTGTCTATCTCGTTTTTTTAAGCTTCCGTTATCGTGTGCGTAAACGATAATGTAAACTCATGATAGACTCTGAGATTAACTTCATAGGAAAATTTTCCCTGTATTTTTCTGGTAAACCTGTTATATGAGAAGTATTTATTCTTAATAAATCAGTGAGCATGTCAAACTCCTACGTCAGTAATTAACAACTGATCAGACATGCTGTGCCACAAGAGTCAAATGTCCCTGGTCGTCTATGTGGTAAGCATGGATTGCACACATAATCTTCGCGCAAATAACGATGTTCTTGTAAAGAACTATTATCAATGGCCCTTGGTTAGGCTTGGATAGTTTGCGTTCGCATAATAGTTTAAACTGCCAGACTGCAATGCTCATCGGTAAAATTGCATAGTTTGCTCTAAATTTTACCAAGGCTCTTAAATTACGCTCTTAATTATCCTCGGTGGCCAAAACAAAATCGTTCCTTCGGATTGTACGTATTTTCACAAATATGGATGGTAACCTTGGCCTAACGTGTGACGCTAGTTATAACTAATTTATGGAGCATATATATTCCTCAAACTCAGCACAATATCATTTCTTTGCTGAGTCGTAATAATCAAAATAGATGAGCTGCTAAAAGGCATCAAGACCGTAAAAAAACGAGAAATTATCAAGGTATACAATATAAGATTTGTATTTAGAGCCAATGAATTTCACTGAACTTTCCTACAACTGTTCTGCGTATAAATAATGTTACTGATTTCCCTTAGTTCTGCCCATATTTTTACGTGAACTTTCTGACAGAATACTCGCCTCCAACACTGCTTATTTTTTACCATTCTGCCGATAGAATTGATTTAAGCTTACCCTCGGCAAATCAGAATAATCTTTGCGTTAAAACTTTATCGTAAATTTTCTCACAACCAAAACTACTATAGTGTGTCTCATGCTCGCTCATGAAAACTACACGTCTTAAACGAGCGCAGCCGACTTACCCAAAACAAAAATGAAAGTCCACATGTTAGACATCTTTCCTAGAAAGAAAAGCAAATGGGTGTTAAAATAAATTCAAATCTATCTTATCTGTAAGCCTCGAGTCGGCACCTCAGCATATCTATACGTTGTATACGTTGCGATTCAGTATCATCATCGGCTTCGACCTTATTTCCTTTGTCGCGTGATTGGACCAGAATATTTATGCCTTAACGACTAAGCGTTCTCCCGGCCACTGTGGCTATATCATACGGTGAATGTTTGCACTATTTTACTATTTTATTTGACTTAAAATGGAACGTGCAGGTTAGTTAATATTCCCGCTATTAAAATTGTTCAATTCAAATGTTTAACGCTGTTTCCAAACATTTCTTGTTATTAAGAGACTTATAGCAACATCCGGCATATTTCCATTGACTGCTATTTTATCATTGTGTCACACCTACCCCAATTCTAGTAATATTCCATACAGTGTTATTTATGAAAACGTTGCGTCGGCAAATAAAACAAAAATTCGTCGTCGTCACAACTTTATTAAGAAGTCAGTTACTCATATAACGACACAAAGCGTTATGTTCTCTTATCCTCTTGATTTTTTCCTTATATTTTTCTCCGGCAGTGTAGCATAAGACTCTACTTAAATTAATTTGATCACCAGTTATAACACAAAAAAGCTACGAGATTACCTGAATAGTGTTTGTTTCATTTCTCCGCTAGATTGTTTTATGCTGCAGTCGCACTTACCAACACAACAAATATTTTATTCACGTATACATCAATAAAACCCTAACAGATGTTTCAAGCTGGTGAGGTTATACGTAAGTTGCTAAAGTGGAGGCTCGACATATATTTATCTCACGTAGCCTCTGAAGAAGAGTTTCTCAGCGTGCTTAACAAATCTGAACTGGAAAAAAAAGATAAAAACAAAAACAGTGTTCGCACTAGTTGTGGCAAAATAATAACGTAAGTTATTTTTTTAGAGGAGAAAATCTTTCACAAAATGAAGTCAGACTCTAGCCCCTCTAGTCATTTCCTCTTTGTTTAATAATTAGCATTTCAAATGTCTCATTCTTATTTTGGAAAGGAAGTTTTAACACCCGCCAATACTTCATCCTGATCTGTGAATCAAAACATTTATACCTTCAACTTTGTAAACCAAAAATCCATTGCAAGACTCGGGTGTCTTAAGTTAAGCAACGTTCACATGCAAGACTTACCTGTAATATAATTGTAAGTTATATTAAAGAAACATTAATATTATATTAAAAACAGGCTCGGTAAACAAACTTGTTGTCCTCTTTCCAAGAACTAACAACATGAAAAATAGTTTTAGTTATAGCGGTGCAACCCTTTGGAATAGCTTACCCTGTAACATTAGAGAGTCTGGTTCATTAAACTAATTTAAAGCCCTTCCCTATCATAATTTTAAACACGGCATTCATGGAAATCAGGTTTTTAAGTGGCACATTGTTGTAAGTTAATATAATGTTAGGATTAGGATTTTTAGGTTCTTAGGATATTAGTCATTGTATTGGAATTTTTTGTACCTGATGAATGTTTTTTACCGCGTATAAATAATGATTAAATAAATAAATAAAGTTGACGAGAAAAAAAAGGGAATGAACTAAGTGACCTTAATGACGACAAAAAACGTTTTAACCTTGACGAGAGCGAATTCAAAGATAACACAGTGAAAAAGCCTGTTAACAATGTTATATATTATTCTTTTGTGCCTCTGTGTATTCACGTGCTCGTCTGTATTTTAACCCCTGTTTATTAGTCCTTTTGTCCCAGTAAATTTGCTGAAAATTGTTATTAGGCTACATCATCTAAATCCATATTGAAGAAAATAAGCACCCGAGCACCATTTGTCATAATTTAAGATCTGCGCATAAAAACCCGCGCGGAATCTAAACGCTCGCAATTTAATTATTTCCCTATAAAAAATTCAAATCACAGAAAAAAGTGATCAACATTTAATAACAACAAAATCTAGAGGATATGTGTTAACAAATACACAAATCATTAACTGGTCTTATGTACTGGTAACTTCTATTTTTTATCTTCCATTGTGAAATGACGTTCATTTGCAAGGATTTAGCATATGGTGCAGAGAATCCAGCTCTCATCTTCATCTTTATCGCTCTCTTAATTCGTACAAATTCCTTAGGATATATCTCGTGCGGCCGTCAAAAATTGACAGATTGAAAATTTAAATGAAATTGAGAGCGCTTGAGTCGTGAAATTCAATGTCCCTTTTAAATATTTGCCTTTCGAAATCGCGAAAATAAAACCCCGTCAAATATTATCTCCTCAGAATCGCAAAATTAAGTACCCGCGAAATTTTAATAAAATTTAAAATCACTAAGTTAAAAGTACCTGCTAAATAAATAAAAAGCTGATTGAGAATCGTCAATTTTCTTTTTTATTTGCGTGAAGACTTTGGGAGGCCGTGGAAGATGTCACTGAAATATTCACATATTTTGTTGCACTTCCTCTCCTAACGAAGAACTTGACGCAGAATTCAGTTATTATTGTTTGCCCAACTTTCTCATTTTTGATCAGCTTAACAGGACATTTCATATCGAAATCAGGCTTGTTGACAATTGACTCATCAATAAAAATTCATTTAAGTGTACGCATGCGCCTATGTTTGTGTTCAGCGGAACGCAAGGAAAGTGAACGAGAAACTTTAGAGGGAACTGTTTGTCTCAGCTGGTTATTTTGCTCCTAGTTTGACTGGTGTCAAGGCTCTCCGAGTTGTTCTTTACTCCTTACTCATTAGGAATATTAGTAAATTGTGAATCTTTCCCAAAATGCCACAGTGTTATCTGCAAAACAGGACCGTCTCAGTCATGAGAGGACGCGCGGACATACTACAAAGACACAAAGAAAGTGGGAGAAGCTCTGCCATAAGCAGCCGGGATTTGAGAATTCTAACCAGAACTTTCCGAGGGAAAATTGGACTCTAAAAAACCGTGAATTTTTTGGCTGAATAGCAATCATTTTATTTGATAGAGGGCGGGGGGGGGGGGGGGGGGGGGGGGGAAAAGAATACTTGGAAATAACAGTTGACGAGAGTAGGGGTCTAAAGGTATAGTCAAGAGGTTCTCTTAAAGGATCTTTCCCTGTTAACAACCAATTTCATGTCAAGTGACCGGTTTATTTCTAAAAATGCTGAAGTCAACCTAAGTCAAAACCATATAAATATACAATTACAAAACGAAAATTCCTTGGTTATTTAGACAAAAAAAAAAGAACCTGATTAGTCCACCGTATATCATAAAAGTGGACTTCTGTTTGCTGCTAAAAATATCATGCGATTGTCTCCCGGCCTACTATTGAGGGATGCATGCTTATATAACGTCGCCAAATTTGCCAACGCAAAAATCATTCTATTCTCAAATCAGTTGATAAAAAAAGCCCACACAGATTTTTAAAGCTGCGCAAGTAATAAACGTAGAGGTTGTCTCATTTTAAATTCACTTTAGGTAATTTATACATCCCTAACGCTTTTTTAAATTTACTTATTTGGGCTAAAATAATTAAGTCTATAAGACCAGGATTAAAATAGTCAGATACCTACATGGTGCCATAGAAAATAATTTTAAGAAAGTTGAACATGTAAACATTTCAAAAGACACAAAATAAAATTCAACCCAGTCATCAGTTTGTAGCCACGGTAAATAATTACTGTGGCTGTGATATATATTGCACATCTCCATTCAGCATAATCTTCCTTAAAACTCAGATGTATAACTATTTTTCATTTTTCACGATTTAACAGTTCAGTTTGTTGTTAACTAATCCTCCAAGTTCGTTAATACTATCAGGCGGCCGTTATCCTTGGAATTAAATATTCAAAACTGTAGTAAACAAAATTAAACAATCATCTTTTACTTCCATATGTTTAGTTAGAATTTGAATAACAAAGGTACTTTTCCATTATAATCTTATCTTTGGGAGAAACCATTGAAAGATGTCAACGAAGCCGATGTTATTTTACTTTTCTGTTGATTTACTTATTGCAAAAAAAGTTCAATGGTTTATTCTATTAAATTTCCAAGACTAAAGAAACAAAAACTGAAGCTGGTATTCCTGCACAGTAAACAAGCAATACTTATAAAGTAGATTATTAAAAAATGGACAGTTGCTGTATCATTGTTATTCTAATTTTTATGTGTAAGGAAGATAAAATTCAGCTACTTCAATATATGTAAACAAAGTGTCTTCAAGATAATTTATTGTGTGGGAGTTTGGTTGTTTTGTGAAAAAATTAATTGCAACTTCACTTCAAAAAAAAGGAAGTAAAGTAAAAGTGAGAGGATGTGCTCATACCATCAGACATATCCCTCTCCCCTGAAAATTACACTCAGTTAAATTTAGTATGAGCCAGAAGAACCATGCAACCAGAATTCCACTGGTCTCCGAGGCCTGATGCAACTTAAAGCGCAGTGGAACCTCGATTTAACGAACTTCGATACAACGAAGTCCTCGATATAACGAACGATAGTCTTCAGCCCGACCAAAGTTACAGTAAAATGTATAGGAAAGAACCTCGATATAAGGAAATCCTTGTAGAACGAAAACAATCCAGAAGCCCAAACGTATAATATACCCCGATATAATGAACAAATGTCAACACGTGACAAAAGACAAATGCAAAACAGACCAACAAGAATCAAAATCCTTTAATTCTATAACAATAGGACGTCACAGTTAACAGCTCATTATAAATGCCGACGGCGGTAAGGTAACGGCGCAGTTCGTAATTTCGTTCGTATACAGATACGAGAATTTCTTGAAGCCACTAAGTATGTCGGATGGTATATATTATTACTTAATGGCCGTTACGTACATTTGCGTCAGTATAATAGAAAATTCTAAGATAGCCAGTAACGCAATGACAAAACAACGAGATTTGTGATTATCATAAATCCCACGAATGCCGACACTGACACTATTGACACATCTACAGATCCGCTTTATCCTCTCTGTCTCTTATTAGTTACAATAAGGCTTCTTGTAGTTAAACT